TATATATATATATATATATATATATATATATATATATATATATATATATATATATATATATATATACAGGGTGTTGAAAAAAAAGAGTCACATATTTTGATGGCAGGTAGGATCAAAACAAGAAGAAAAGGTCTAATTAACATGGGTCCTAAGACTAATATCTTCTAAGATACAAGCTATTTTGTTATTTGAGCTCTTTGTCATTTTCTTATTAGTCGTGTCATCTTTAGAATGTAATGAACAAAGGAGTAGGGGAGAGTGGGGTACAATGGGGATATCTTTTTTCTAGGTGCCTTAAAAAATAAAAAATTAAACACTCTTTTGTTTACTAGGGCTGCTCACATTCGTTAAGGCCTACGCAATGTCGTTTGACTTGTAGTATCTATTGCGAACTAAACGTAAATATCAGGAGAGAGAAATGAAGTTAAAGTGCGTGATTTGAAAGAGTGCATGATTCTCTAAGACGTAGGGCTGAAACATGCGTGAGAGTGAATGGCAATCACATAGAGCACCTCCTCTAATGCTGAGTCAGCATTAAAATTTTTTGTTTTTTGTAAAAAAAGAGTTTTTATTTTGTTATCATACATTCAGTTTCTTTACTTCAGTTTTTTTATGGAAGATAAATGATTACATTTCATATTAAAATAAAAATTGTTCCTTTATCTCTCTTTGTTAATTTTTTATTTTTTAAGGCACATAGAAAAAAGATCCCCATTGTACCCCACTCTCCCCTACTCCTTTGTTCATTACATTCTAAAGATGATACGACTAATAAGAAAATGACAAAGAGCTCAAATAACAAAATAGCTTGTATTTTAAAAGATAAAATTAGTCTTAGGACCCCAACTTTTCTTCTTGTTTTGATCAATACTACCTGCTATCAAAATATGTGACCCTTTTTTTTCAACACCCTGTATATATAAATCAATTCTACTTCAACACTATTATCAATCATATCCCACACAGCAAGAATGTCCCAAATATATCATAGGTGTATATGACTCTCCTTATCTCGACGGTGAATTCGTGAATTTGCGGGAGTGAAGCCACACACTTCACGTACGCTATTATAGCGCCGTGATTTTTGCTGGCGAGCCAACAAGAGGAGCCAACGTCTCTTCCAGATTAGGAAATGAACTCGTAGTAAGAACGCCGACGAAATATCTTGGGTTTTGGTCAAGTTTCTTTACTTCCTTAATTAACAACAAACGTTAACAAATCGACGTGTGTGCTTTCGAAGCACGAGTTAAGCACGCGGAATATAATTCCTGAGAGTGAGCGAATTGTAACGTGAAATTGATAAATTGAGAACGTGCGATGACTTCGACAGAAAACCTGTTACCGTTAGAAAATTATTCGCAGTCTGCCTGGTCTTAGAGTTCGCGAGCTACTTAACTGTCTAACGGCCGACGGTGGCGAGACGGTATTGATCGCTTTCGAATTTGAGTATCACCGTTGCTAAAACGTATGTTTACATAATCGTGGTTCTTATGTGCCGAATCAACGCACGTCAGGTTCGGGAAGCGCGTCGGCCGAGGAGCGAATCGAGCCGAGATTACGCAGTTGCCACGTGATTGATCGAAGCGATCGCAACGACTTAAGGCCACTAAATATTTTAGAAGAATCTCACAGCTCGCTATTGAAAGCTTCGAGAGTCCTCCAGAAAATTACCGAACGCGATGTCAATAATAAACGCATTGTCCCTTTCTTTCTCTCTTTTCTTTTTTCGATCCTAAACAATAGGGATATCTTAAAGATATCGCATATCCCAATATATTTTTAGGATATCCTTATGATATATTTTGGACACCTTTGCTGTGTGAGATAATTGTTCTCCCTAGTATGAAATCATGAAAAGTGAATAATTTTGCAGCACATAGAGGTGATCATGAATCTTTTTGTAAGTAAACTGCTATGAAGAATGAACATTTACATATATTTTCACAAGTTCATAGAAGAAAAGATTCATGATTAACTTCTATATATCTCTTCTTCTAACGTGAACTCGTAAAAAGTGAAAAGTTTCGCGTGAAAATGTTCACATTTTCATTGTTCGAGGAGTCACATGATCGCCGTCAAGATCACATGAAACCTCATATTTCTGCTCTTTTAGAAAAGAGTTACATGATCACTACACTGTCTCAAACATAAATAGAAACGGTGTTATCTTGTCCCGTCTCATTCTTTTTTCTTCTTTGTTTTAGACGGGAAATACATATCGATCGGAAAACGGCGCAAAAGTTCGAGTGTCAGGGCGTGGGACGTACAGACGAATTGTTGCGATGTGAACAAAGTATCGCAGCGGGCTCCATTATCGTTCCTCTATTATTAATTGCCAGACAGCTGCAACATCGTGTACGGCACAGGCATAGACGCATCGCTCCGACCCGGCAATTAAATTACGCCGAAGTCGAAAATGGAAAACTCCCGTCGCGAGTTCGCGAGCGAGTTCGTTGCGCTTTTATGTACAAATTAATCGAGAAAACACGGATCGATGGAGAATTTCCCGATCTGCTGGACGACGCTCGCGCGATCTGACAATTTAATGACGACGTCAGAGAGAGGAAACGCCGTGGACGTCCACTAATATAATATCAATTATTGTCCATTAATACGACGTGAATTATTGAAATTGGCATTTAATGTAATATCCATTTCGAGAACGCGCACGTATCTCGATCGCGAAGAAATTCACGAATCCTGCGAGCGCTTCATCGCGCATTATCCGTGCATACGATCGGAGAACGGCACTCTCCGTCTCGGCAGACGTCGATCTTGAATAATGTAGCGCGTCACCGTCAGTCTCGGTGTCACCTGCGTGTTGCATCAAGACATCACTTATTCTCATACACGTAAATTTCTCTTCCGCCCTCGAGCAGCGTCATTAAAATCTCGTTTTGGGCGTGCGCGTAAAGTGTCGAAGCGAGTGCAGCAACTCTGTCGCATCTGTTATTCGATCTTCGAATGATTCGGGCCCACACATTCTTACATGGTAAAAAACATTTTGTATTCGTCTTCAAGTCGATCCGTATAGAAATTTTCACACATTCGTCAATTTAACGTTTGTCCTTGTGTTCTTTTGACCATTTTGCGTTCCTGTACAGCGCAAATGTCTAGAATACATTTTGGAAACATCCTAGAGACTTAAAGAAATAATAGGATATCTTTCAGACATCTCTAGGATATTTTTTGGACGCTTCTATGAATTCATATTCATCGTTTCTGTTAAAATAACATAATTGTGTCCAAGTATTACATTTTAATATTATGTATTATTTGCTTACATATTTGTCTTATTTTAAATTTACACAAAAATTAGAATAAATAAATTGGGACATGTATAAAAAATGTTAAATTTGACGCCAAATCTTTTACAGTGCAATATTCGACAGACATATCTTTTTGGATCTCAATTAATTTTGTAAGTTTCATCAACGATCATTACACGACCAACAATTTTATTCGGGTATTTTTTGGAATATGCCATGGGATACAAATGTACGACAATAAAAGATAGAATTTTCTATCACGATGAGAGATAATAAAGTTCTTTTATTTTCGTAATATATTTACTTATCGAGAGAGTATTTGTTTTACATACAATGCGTTTGTATGAATCGAAGTTGCATGTATGTATATCAAATACAGAATGTATATATGTATATATGTATGTAATGCCGTATTCTTTGGTGAACGTTATCATAGATTCCTACTCGCAAGAGTGTGAAATTTTATTCTTCGGTATGATCAAATTTCACGATATTTTGTGCGTAGCGACGAGATAAGATGAAATAAGGAGGAATTTACAGCGAGCTTGTGACACACGCGAGGCAGAACTTTCGTGTTTAAAGTTTATCACTGACGATATTCCCACATTCTCCTCTTCGCGTTGAAGCCGACGTTGTTCTTTTTGTAGTGTTTCTACCAGAAACTACAGGTGCACATGTCTCAGAGAGTCATCTATACCCTCTTTTATGCGAGTATAAAAATGTCTAATACACTCACCTTGTATAATGCACTTTATGTCAAATCCGCCAATATCCTCTCGTTTTTTTTTGTTATCTTGCGCTGAGAAATATATTATATACAGTAACGTGTGTGTGTGTATGTGTGTGTGTAACATATACGATAAGAGTGCACACAGGACAAAAAAACCGTAGTGACTCTGACAAAAAAATATATATCTAAATCAAAATCACGCGATTTTTATAACCAAACCGGAAAACAGAAACATACATCAGAAAATCTCTAATTTGAAAAATATATCAACAGAATATTTCCTTTTTTCGTTTCCTTTTTTAATAATATAAATAAAATTGTTCTATCCTTTGCAACTCGCGCTCAACGACACGTTACAATCAATTCTAACATGATCTATTTTACATGTGAATGATGATTCCTTCTGTCAGTACAACACGAAATAGCTTCGCGGAGAGAATCGTTGAAAATTGTGTGCCTATTTAAGCTGGTCCTAGAATGTCCATGTTCGCTGTGGTATCTTGGACGTTGCTGTTTGCGATCATATACTCCGAGACGGATATGTACACCGCGACTAGCAGGCCGATAGCGCCTGCCGCGTAAATGTTGCGCTGCAAGATGATACACGTCGCGACACAGAGACCAAGATACGTCAGATATCGCGTCAGATTTTCCTGTTTCTTGCGGTTGAGCAAGTCCGAATCTACAAATGATGTAAATCATGAATGCGAGTATGAATCAAATAACGCTATTGTCTTCTCAATCTGTCATCTTGATACTTACTTATGCACACATTTTCTTTCTTATAATATTCCTCAGCACACTTGATGCACATATCTGGACCATCACCGATGCAACCATCACAAGCTCTGTCACAAGCTGAAAAAGATATATTTTCAAATTAGAATCCTTATTTGAAATTCTAAATATAACAAGTTAATATAAAATATATACATACCTAAGCAAGAGTATCCTCCTTCTTTATTTATGCAAAACTCATTCCTAGAGCAGATCTTTTTTCGACACTCATCGATGTCAAAGCAGCCTTTGTCCTCTATCATTTGCCATCCACTTGCACATCTCTCGCAGTCCTTCGGCCCAGCACCTTTGCAGGGTCCCTCACATGCTGCATGGCATGCAGAACACAGCAAGGTCTTCTCATCCTTGTAAGATTCATAGTATCCTGAAGCACACTCTGAACAGATGTCTCCGATATAACCTTTGTCGCAGAGGCAACTGCCACTTCCTTTTCTAGTGCCAGCTCCTTTGCACTTGCCATTATTACTGCACACTTTGTCTGGATATCCTGAACATGGTTTGCAGCTTGGACCATAGTGATCCTTGGGACAACAACGTTGTGTCTTTGATATACAAATATAATCGTATATATCTGGATAAGTATCTTGATGTTTGAACCACCAATCCTCTATCAAACTTTCCAAATCCTCAGCTAAACTGTGGCACTGTGTCTCTCCTTGTTCAATGTCTTTGCACAAATTCTCCTGTATCTCAACCAATCGTATTTCGCTGTTAGCATAGGAACCAAGCTTGTCCTCTTCCCAAGCGCTATCACCACCCTCAAACTTACCACGACTTGTTTTCTCTAAACCCTGCAAAATAATGATAATTGCACCAACTAATGCAATGTAAAATTCTATGATATTTAGATGATATGATACAGTTCTGCTAATTTAACTTTAATAATCGAAACGTCAAACGTGGTGTTTACTTTTTTGAAACTATTGGTGAACACTTTGCACGCTGCGCAGGGCGGAAGCTTCTGATCCTTCAATTCCTCTTTGCCCGGCTTTTCTTTCTCACATTGCACACTATTTATGCAAATCGATACAATCACAAACAAATTCGAAACAACAATACTGGTCGGCACTTGCATTATATTATTATATTGAAACAGACCGGTTACCGATATACATACAACCGTATAATGTACAATAGTGTATAAAAAATTATAGGAAGCACCTGAGTGTGTTCTCCTTACGATCAGAGAATAACGGAAAACAAACGTTTCCTGAACGTTTATCGTATTATGTCTTGGATTAGATTGTGATTACTTCAAATAATTCCATTTGAAGCGCCAAACAGGTTAGATTGACATTCAAGATTTAGAAGGACAGACGACAAAACGTGTCTTCCATAGATTTGTCGCGCTGTTTGCACTTTTGACACTTTTACACCTAACGCCCGTTGCACACTGAACTTCTCTTAAAAAGGAGAGCTCTCATTGGATTTCACTCATTGTGTCCGATATGCAACGGGCATTAAGTGCAAAAGTGTCAAAAGTGCAAATAACGCGACAACCTTATTACACACACGTGTAACTTACCAGCCAATCCAAACGCACAGCGTGCCAATAGAGTCAACCATACCGTTGAGTCGTACTACTACCTCAAACTACTTGATTAACAGATGGTGGCGGCTCGTAGCGGAGAGTTTGGAACTAAAAGCCGTAATGCAAAGTTCGCACGCATTTGACAACGTATGTGAAACGTATCTACATGCTTATCATTCGTATTACATTCGTGGCGATAGTGACGTGTCGTCCATCGTGTCAAAAGTTTAAAGAATTTGAAGAGAGTGATGTTTAATTAATTGCATAAGTGTGTCCACCTAATATTCGGAATAAAAACAAAAATATGTTAACGAAGTTCGAGACAAAATCCGCTCGAGTGAAAGGCCTGTCCTTTCATCCGAAACGTCCCTGGGTGCTTGCAAGGTGAGTGACACATGTTTAGTCTTACTGACGTTTTTCAAGATTATTGCAAGAATATTTCTGACAAGTGCAGAAAGTGTTTTACTTAAAACAACGGCTGTATTAAAGCGTCAGTTGTTTGAACACTCGACGACTGTATATTGACATAACCTATATGTAATGTCAATTCAGATGCTAATAATATTATAAGTGAGGGATTGATTTGGGAAACTAGGAATTATTTTTCTTTATTATTGTCTTCGTTAATATCTTTTTGTTGTATCTAAAAACTAACTAAACTTCGCGCAACTTGCATGATAAAAATAAGAAAAGATTTATTTTAGTATAATTCAGATAGTATTTACAATGTATGCAGTTTTGTTGCATCATATTATAAATCTTGTCATTATTATTAATGATAATACAGCAGAATGAAACACAATATTTGAGTTTTACATTTCAGTTGTAGTAGGCATAGTAGATGTTTCAGCGCTTGAGTTTTCTGTTGAGTTACTTACTTCTGTATTTGCAGGCTCAGTATTACTTACTTTATTTTTTACAATTTGATCACTGCATTTCCTAGATCTTACTGTAGGTTTTGCAAACTCAGTTGTTGTTTCTTCATTGATTTCCTTAGATGTAATCATAGGTTCAAATGTGCTCGGAGCAGGTTCATGAGAAGATGCTTCTTCAGCTTTATTTGACTTGAAATTGGATTTTGATTCTAACATATTGGACTCTATAGAACTAACAAATTGGGTTGCATTTGTCCTTGAACTCTCAGCGATATTCGCTTTTACAGATATTGTCATATCCTTAACAGCCGTTAACGCATGGCTCAAATTGTCAACAGGAACTTGATTGGCTATGATGGGAGCTTGATAAAGTAGTGGCACAGGGGGATTATAAAGATCAAAATCATGCAAAGGAAACCGTAAATGAGCATAAGGATTGTGAGGATAATATTGACTCTGTATCACATTTGATGGTGCATGATATCTGGGAAGCACCGCTGGAAGCTGCAGATTCAAAAAATTTGCTCGCAATGCTGGATAAGGCACGCGTACAAAAGGAACATCCTGAAAGGATGTTTGATATTTAAGGAAGCTATCGTCCACTTCCGGATTTTTCGATAGCTTTCTCTCTTCATTGGAGACGTCAGCATTCAAGACAAAACCTTCTTGTTTGCTCATGCTTGCCTCAATTTCGGGTTTAGATTGTCCTGCAGATGTTGGGTCCTCCTGAGAATTATCTTGAGTATTATCTAACGTGTCTTTCTGCATATATTTTTCTGGCATCTTCATTATGGCATCACTTTCATAAATCGAGTTCATTGCCTTCTTCAGTTTGCTCACAGAGTCTGCACCAGTTGCAAAGACAACATTACTTCCACCACCGTTGAGATCATGAGTCGCATAAGAATATCCACTGAAACTAGGATCAGATTCGGACGCTGTGTAGAACAATCTTGTAGTGGCAGGAAATGCTAGGTGAATGTCTTTGTATGGAATAGAAATCGTTCTCACTATCGTCAGTATCCCCAGAAAAAGCTGAGAAAATGAAGGAAAAAATGCATTTTTATTGCCAATTATTTTCACGTGTATTAGTTATTTATTGTGACAAATTGTATTGACAAAGATCGACTTTAGATTCGTCAAAGGACATTGATGAAAAATTCAAATCAGTGGTTCTACAGATACCCTGTAGGGAGAATTAGTTATTCAAATACAAATGCACAGCACTTACGACAGCGATGGTGAAACAATGGTGAGCTGCCATTGTCGAAAGTGTTGCGAGCTTAATAACATTAAGGAGCGGACTACCAGGATGCGTAATGATGTGATCTCTATATACACGGCGTACACTTGACGTCCCCACCACTCCCGCGCGTACACCTCTGCTTTTGATGACCTGATTTCGTCGAGATGTCCTGAGGGGATACGCCCCGCGATTGTCGTTCGACTCGTTAAAATTATATAGAGCGGAGATCGACTTTCAGATAGTTTTATTGTGTATCTTGATGGAAACGCGATGTATGCATTTCGCGAGCAAAGATAATTTGTCTATTTCAAGAGGATAGATTAATCACTCCTCTCTCATGCATATTAATGCAAAGTCCTCGAAGAATTATCTTACAATACTCTCATGTCATGGAACTACTGCAATGTGATAGTTCCACTCTCTCTTTTCAGCTTTTTATATTTTAGAATATGTAATAATATCTTCTTTTTCATACAATCTGAAGTAACCAATTTAATTATCGTCCTGTAGATATATATATATATATATATATATATAAAATTTGCTTAGTTTCTTATTTCTTATGTTCATAATAATGTCGGCAATAATATCAGTATTCGGTAGTCACGTCTGATACTCTTTCTAGATACGTAGAAGGCGCGTGATTTGTCAATCAAAGTATTCGGTATTCATGCATATATTAAAGTGATTATCGCGGTAGAAGGACATAACGGGCGACCGAAAAAGCGATTGTGCATTTCTTAGATATTCAGATGAAGTAATAGGTGTACCACGCCTATTTTCTAAGATAATAAGAGCCGGATATTTTCGCGCCGTCGAGTATACCGGGCGTATATAAATATATTGAGCATGATTTACAGAAATCCGCCGAGATACACATGAAAGAATAACGAGCTACGCGTATTGGAAATAATCTAAATCTGCTTAGAGAGGAAGGGAGACAACGGGATTCACACGTCGCGTCGTTTTCGCCCTACGTGATACATTCTCGAACTCAAACTCCTTTTCCCGTTCCGTTGTGATATCGGGACACCCTGTATGGAGGCGTAGGCCCGAAATCCAGTTTGCGAATGACCTCTATATTTACGCCTCATTTAATCGCGCGGCCAGACGAAAAAATCGTGCAAACTGCCAGTTTTCGCAACTCGGGGCACCCATAAAGTTCCTGATATAGCTCATGGCGATTGAAGTGGGTAATACTTATAGCGTGCGAACTCTAATAAGGGATTTCACAATTGCCATACCTTCGCGAAATGAAGTGTAATTACACCTGCAAACACAGAGAAAATTACTGGAATTAAGCAGCAATCACGAAATGAGAAATTGAATAAAAGAAATAAGATATTTTTAGATTAAATAAGTTAAAAATAAAATTTTCTACAATAAATAGGAAAAGTAAAATTTCGTAATATCAAAGGGTGGTGTGTTTTTTTTTTTTTTATTTTACGAGATATATTTGGTTATATTTCGTGTTGCATAAGCGCGATAAGAGCTCGCATTATTTAAACGAGTAAAATAACCACGCAATGTCTTACGCTTGCAAATGTCTTACGTTCATGCAAATTACAGTCTGCACAATGGCGTCATCCAGTTGTGGGACTACCGTATGTGCACTCTGCTCGACAAATTCGACGAGCACGACGGGCCGGTCCGAGGCATATGTTTCCACAATCAGCAGCCGCTGTTCGTTTCCGGCGGTGACGATTACAAGATCAAAGTCTGGAACTATAAGCAACGAAGATGCATCTTCACGCTGCTGGGTCACCTGGACTACATCAGGACCACGATGTTCCATCAGGAGTATCCCTGGATCCTCAGCGCATCGGACGATCAGACCATACGGATCTGGAACTGGCAGAGCCGCACTTGCATCTGCGTACTGACCGGGCACAATCATTACGTAATGTGCGCCCAATTCCATCCCACGGAAGATATCATCGTGTCGGCTTCGTTGGATCAGACTGTCCGCGTGTGGGACATCTCTGGTTCGTGGGCGCTACTTGTTATTATCTATATGAAAAGAAGTGAAAATACGCTTCGTGACAAAAAGAAAGACATAACGCGGTAATGCATATCGCGTTTTACGTTAAATTAAATAAAAATTTTACATCAAAAGTTGAAACTGCGCGCGGTAATGTGCATCAATTATTTTTGGTCATGTTATTATCGCGCGTTGTAATTACATCGCGATGACATATCATTACAAAATTCAAGACGTGGCACAACGATTTTCTTTTGAGCACCATTACGGACAAGCGTGATGATTGCACTTTAATAATGGGAGCGAATGCAATTGCAGGATTGCGCAAGAAGAACGTGGCGCCCGGGCCGGGCGGTCTCGAGGACCACCTGAAGAATCCCAGTGCGACCGACTTATTCGGCCAGGCGGACGCGGTGGTGAAGTACGTGCTGGAAGGTCACGACAGAGGCGTGAACTGGGCATACTTTCACGGTTCATTGCCGTTAATCGTCTCCGGGGCCGACGATCGGCAGATCAAGATGTGGCGTATGAACGACGCCAAAGCGTGGGAGGTGGATACTTGTCGCGGTCATTACAACAATGTGTCCTGCGTGCTGTTCCACCCTAGACAGGACCTCATACTCTCCAATTCGGAGGACAAGAGCATCCGCGTCTGGGACATGACGAAGCGCACGTGTTTGCACACATTCAGGCGGGAACACGAGAGATTCTGGGTGCTAGCCGCCCACCCGACCCTGAACCTCTTCGCCGCCGGCCACGACTCCGGAATGATCATCTTCAAGCTCGAAAGGGAGCGTCCTGCGTACGCGGTCTACGGAAACTTCCTGTATTATGTGAAGGATCGTTTTCTGCGCAAGCTGGACTTCACTACGTCGAAGGACACGTCGGTGATGCAGATTCGAGGCGGCGGGAAAACACCGCCCTACAGTATGTCGTACAATCAGGCGGAAAACAGCGTCTTGGTGTGCACTAGATCACCCTCGAACATCGAGAACAGCACATATGACTTGTACATGATACCGCGCGAAGGTGATACGAGCACAGATGCCGACACTAAACGGGCGTCCGGTGTCACCGCCATCTGGGTCGCCAGAAATCGATTCGCCGTTTTAGACAGAGCATATTCGGTAAATTGAAATATCTTGATTAAATGAATGTACAAATCTGACTTGTTCAAGTTAGTAAGGATGTGGTTAATTAATTCGAGATACATATATCTTTCACTTTGACAATGTCAAAGTAAATGTCATGATTAATCAAAATTGCTAATAATTCCTCTTACTCATTGAAAAAGTCACATACATATTCATGATTACCTTTCTTCTTCAGATAGTCATCAAGAATTTGAAGAACGAGGTTACGAAGAAACTGCAATTGGTTCCCAACTGCGACGATATATTTTATGCCGGCACCGGCATGCTGCTTCTACGCGATTCGGACCAGGTGACGTTGTTCGACGTTCAGCAGAAGAGAGTCCTGGCGGAGGTGAAGATCGCCAAGTGCCGCTACGTCGTGTGGTCCAGCGACATGTCTCACGTCGCCTTGCTGGCCAAACACATCGTCAACATCTGCAATCGTCGATTGGAGCCCCTCTGTTGCATACACGAGAACACCAGAGTCAAATCTGGCGCTTGGGACGATTCCGGCGTGTTTATTTACACAACTAGCAATCACATCAAGTACGCGATCAACAATGGCGATCATGGCATTATCCGCACGTTAGACTTGCCGATATACGTGACGAGAGTGAAAGGCAATCAGGTTTACTGTCTAGACCGGGAGTGCAGGCCGAGAATTCTGCGGATAGACCCGACAGAGTACAAATTCAAACTCGCGTTGATCAACAGGAAGTACGAAGAGGTCTTGCACATGGTACGCACTGCGAATCTCGTCGGGCAATCTATCATAGCGTACTTACAGCAAAAGGGTTATCCAGAAGTGGCGCTCCACTTCGTGAAGGACGAGAAGACCAGATTCGGGCTCGCGCTCGAATGCGGGAACATCGAAGTGGCATTGGAAGCGGCGAAATCGTTGGATCAGAAATCATGCTGGGAGAGTCTGGCTCAAGCCGCTCTGCTGCAGGGCAACCACCAGATCGTTGAAATGTGCTATCAGAGGACCAAGAACTTCGAGAGACTGTCTTTCCTCTATCTCATAACAGGCAATCTGGAGAAGCTGCGTAAAATGATAAAAATCGCAGAAATTCGCAAGGACGTGTCCGGACAGTATCAAGGCAGTTTATTGCTTGGCGACATTTACGAGCGAGCTAAGGTCTTGCGGGTATGTGTCTCTATTATTTATCTCTATTTGATAATTTTACTTATATTTTCGTAACTCATAACTGTATAGAGTGTTTGGACTTAAGTATCTGATCGGTTGTATACATGTAGAAATCATAGTTTATAATATAGTAATGATCTCTCAGTTTAACAAGTTTATAACTACATGTACACGATCGGTCAGATGTATACGTATAAGTCGAGACATCCTATATACAGATTTATCCATATATGTATCTTCAAATAAATATCTAAACCTCAAGTTTTTATCATCCAGAGTTCTGGACAAGCATCATTGGCATATGTCACCGAAAAGATTCACGGGATATCCAACGAAGACGACGACATCGAGTATAAGTCAATGAACGAGGAACTTTCGTCGCTTGAGAAAGACGCTGTATACTTGTGTCCACCGGTACCGATACAACAGGCCGAGAACAATTGGCCGCTGCTAACCGTCTCCAAAGGCTTCTTCGAGGGCGCGATGATGTCTCGCGGCAAGAGTCAGGTGGCCGCCGCTTTGGCTCCAGAAGAGAACGACGAGACAACAGCTGATGGATGGTGTAACGATGAGCTCGGAATAGACGAGGAGGACGAAGAGAACGGCGAGACGAGGATTGTCGCCGAAGGTGAAGAGAGCGCGGGATGGGACGTCGAGGACGTCGATCTTCCGCCGGAATTGGAGGTCACGACGGCCTCCAACGAAGATGGCTATTATTCTCCTCCTACTAAAGGCGTGCCACCGACGCAGCACTGGATTAATAACTCTCAGTTGGTGATTGATCACATATTGGCGGGCTCGTTCGAGTCCGCCTTCAGATTGCTGAATAATCAGGTCGGCGTGGTGGAGTTCGGGCCGTATCAATCCCTGTTCCTGAACACGTACGCCCGTTCCAGAACGTCCTTCGCCAGTCTGCCCAACATACCGTCATTGTACGGATACCCTCAGAGGAATTGGAAGGACGCTACGCCGAAGACAAGCATGCCCGCTGTAGGACTACATCTCGCCAATCTGGTTCAACGTCTTCAGGTGTGCTATCAGCTGACGACCGCCGGCAAGTTCACGGAGGCGATAGAGAAGCTGCAGGCCATCCTGCTGAGCGTACCGTTGCTCGTCGTAGACACCAGGCAGGACATTGCGGAGGCTCAGCAGCTGATTCAAATCTGTCGCGAGTATATCTTGGGTCTGAAAATGGAAACTGAACGTAAGAACATGCCGAAGAACACGCTAGCCGAGCAGAAGAGAATCTGCGAGATGGCGGCATACTTTACGCACTGCAATCTGCAACCGGTACATCAGATACTCACTCTGAGAATAGCTGCGAATATATTCTTCAAGTTGAAGAACTACAAAACCGCTGCTTCATTCGCGAGAAGATTGCTCGAGCTCGGGCCAAAGCCCGAACACGCACAGCAAGTTCGAAAGATTCTGCAGGTATTTACATTAAAACCTAAAACATATACTATAAAAGAAATTGTTCATATATGTTAATATATTTGTAACATATTCAGTCAATCTGAGTGTTTGCAACGAGTCTGAAAGAATCTAATCTATATCTAATCTATATCTACGTTTTTCAGGTTTGTGACAAAAATCCCGTCGACGAGCATCAATTAGCATACGATGAGCACAATCCGTTCTCGTTGTGCGCGAGCACGTACACTCCTATTTATAGAGGAAAGCCGGAAGTGAAGTGTCCCTTATGTGGTGCCAGCTATACTCCACTGTTTAAGGACACAGTGTGCAAGATATGTGAGGTTGCTATGATAGGCAAGGAATGTATTGGGCTTAAACAGGGCCGATCTTAAGATAATTGGTGGCCTTTGCGTATATTCGAAGTTAATTTTAATATTCATGTTTTCTCTAATATTATACAGATATAATTAGTATATACAAATACATTGAAATCGTTTTATTATATTTTATTTAAGGCTCCTGATCAGTCAGTCAAGAACTCCGCATTGACGGCGGTAACACGATTGTAAACGGCAAAATGATGGACTGTTAGGCGAAAAATAGATCTGCTCGTTTCCGAAGAACTTGCGTTAGTGCAGACTATTGCGATAAGAGAGAATTAGAATGAAAGAAAGTATACTTGTTTCTAACTTTTTGCACTAGTGCAAGTTTATCAAAAACGAACAGATTTAATGATGTAAATGGATCAATTTTTTCCTGCAAACTATAGTGTTATTGTAGTGTATGCATATCATGTGGAGTACAATTGGAAATATGGAAATGTTCCAGATACTGTGTTTATTGTGATATTTAATATATTATTCGGTCATATTCGAGTACACATAGCTGATTTTCTATCAAAAGGAGACGATTTGTTACATTTGTTTTGCAGTTATCTAGTAGTTATTTGGACAGAAGTAACTCTGGAAGTATCCAGATTTGAGTCTTAAGAGTATCTGGAAGAATACTCTGGAAGTATCAAGAGTATTTCACAATTGTGTAGAACAGAATGCAAATGTCAATTATTTATCATTATTTAATGGTATATTCTTTTATTCAGCCGTAGTTCGCAGGAATTTTGGGCATGATTTTTTTTCGCTTTTAATGTCATCAATCTAATGTATGGTCGCGTATGACTGGTCAGAAGCCTCAAGCATATGATAAATGTGCAAAGACCAAACATTCACATACCGTTATGCCAGCGTATTGAGCTTGACAATTTAATGTTAAGAGAAACAAATTTTGATAGTACCTTCTCCGTTCTATTGAATAAAATTGATGGGATAAAAAGGATACTGAGAAAAAAAAGACTATTTCTCAATCTTAAACTGTTTAGTTTTATTCTGGAGACGCTTGGCTGTTATGTATCTTAAACATAATCAAGTGACGTATTTAGCTAATTAATTTTTGTATATGTATCAGTGGTACAGTTTACAATAACATCCGCGATATATTGGCATGAAAAAGCCACAATTTTTAGTTGTCTCACGATTGTTAAGTGGGCCTGAGAATAATTGCAACTACTGACATTTCTACTTTTCATCATCCAATACATGTATCTGAATGTTGTATTTATACAATGCAGTATTGGCTAGTTGTATAACTTGTAGTTATCTCGGCGTACACATCACATATAGATATGTATGCGTATCTACAGCGCGATATTATATATTTCAATGCATTTTTTGTGCTTATCATTCTATTTTCTCTTCCAATATATTCGGCGAGGCTGTGTCAGCCTACAACGGATTTTTCAAACCTATGATGACTTTGGCTGCGTTCCGAAATTCACTGCCAGTACTGAAATTCTATAGTATATGTGACATGAACTATAGATTTTCAGTACTGGCAGTGAATTTTGGAACGCAGCCTTTGTGTACAGAAGAAGCGCGATGCTATTCTAGGCTGGGTGTCGGTTACATTGCAACTAGGTGCTCGTAAATTCAATTCATTTGACAATTCGGCAGTAGCAGTTGATTAGGGAAAAGTGCATGAAAGATGCAAAATATAAAATTAAAATGTATAGATAGCGAGTTTTACGCTATCACAGCGAGCCAATAATAATATCACAAAGTACTTTTAAACTTTTTCACCAACGATTATCCGCGTCGTGCCTGAAATCACTGGGCCAGGATCCCTATTCTTGAAATTTTTGCGAATACATAAGTTTTACCGCGCAGTTATTTTATGGTATGATTAAGGGCTCTTGAATAACAGGCAATAGGAACGGAGAATAGAAATTCTGATTGGTCAATTATTTCTATTCCTTGTTTCTATTGGCTATTGCCTGTTGAGGTGGGACCCGATTGATCACGATACGATTGGACACAGATTGTAATGATTGGTTCGACCTAGTAATTCACTAGATAATTCTTTTCATCGGTTGGTTGTGTCCAATCGTACCGTGGTCAATCGGGACGCTCCCTGCCTGTTGCCTGGCATTCTGCAAGGGCCCTAAATCTGCGTAGTAAAACTTACGTATACGCAACTATTTCAAGAATAAGAGCCCTAGGTCCTTATTCTCGAAAATATATCGCATAATATATTTCATGAAAAACTATAATTTATGTTACATATGCTATAACTTTTCACTAAATATCGTATGCGATATATTTTCGAGAATCAGGGGAATGATTGTGTATTTCGAAACGAAGTGAAAATTACAAAAGTGAGCAAATTCACTAGGCATTGACCAATGAAGTTACAAATATTCTAGTAAATTTGCACATTTTTGTCATTTTCACCCCATTTTGAGATACACAATCGACCCCCAGGGCCCTGAGCGCGTGCAAGGTCCGATTGACTGTTCATCTCGTGTTCACTAGCGGATCCGACAATTCGATTGGCGGACGGCTCGTGTCGGAAGTGCGTACGAGACGGGACTCTCTCATTGGCCTCTGGCCAGGGTAAAGCGAGCCGTCACACACAAATCCTTCTGTTGGCACGTCGGTTGGCAACGCGCTTGTTACCGACGCGGAGTTGTGTGCAATGGTGGACGAAGATCGCGAAGACCGCTTGTTCGCGCCGTCAGGCTACCGTCTGCGTCGTCCGTTTCTTCGCTGAGTACAACGGAATCGTCCCGATCCGCCGGCTGTCCCGCGAGCTATCGCGTACCTCTTCACGGAGGTCGCGTCGCGTACGCTGCGAGTTGGCGCGTTCTGCGCCCGGCGTCGTTAGGTAGTGTGCCATAGTGATATATCTCCGTCGCCGCGCCGTTTTTCGCCCCGTGTTGACGCAGACCTCACCGCGTATGCGGATGAGAAGAGTCGAGGAGGACCGCGCGAGTCGGGAGATCATCGTCGGCGGCCAGTCCCGAGAACTCGAGACTCGCTCCTCGAGATTCGTGCGTGCGCGCGCGCGCGCGCGTCTCACGACGCGCTCGCAAGCGTTCAAGGATAAGCGAGAGAGAGAGCACGGGCGAAACAGACGTCCGATGGCGATATGATCGGGTCGCGTCGCAACGGCGCGATCGGAACGAGCGCGTATCCGCCCGGAACGCGGCGTGTCGCCGAGTGGCCGCTCTAAGTGTCGCACTATCAGTGCCGTAAACATCGCGCACGCATACACACGCGAGCGTGCGCGCGCGCACCAACACGTACGGTGTGCGTCGCTTTCTTTCTCTCTCCCTCTATCCATCTCCGTCTATCCGCTGCCTGCCAGTCCGTCTGTCCGTGTGTACGTGTTGCGCGCGGCGCGGGGACATACACCGCTCTCACGGCGGCGAATCTCGGCGTCCGGAATTCGGCCCCGGTCGCAACTCTGTTATCGTGGTGCGCGAGTGCGACGAGCGCACGAGCGTGTGTATCCGAGGAGCGTGTACGTCCGTAAGCAACGGGTCGTGAGCACGACGAATTTTCGGCGAATCCGTGGCCCGCACGGGAGGAGTCTCGCGTCGCCTCCGACAAGCGGCCATCGAGGAGGTTAGAATTTGTGACGTACGGTCTCTCTGAGACTCGTCACGGCTGGACACAGTGCCGAAGGTAGAGCGGGTTTTGTTGCGAGAAACGGATTTTTCTGTGTGTCGACGTCGTCGTTCGCGTTGTCGTCATCATCATCTGTCGTCGACGTTGCCGCGAGCACCGCGGTGCGAACGCGCGTTGCGAACTCTGTGATAAAAGGAGGACCGCGCCGTAAATCCGACTCGAACGTCGCGGTACGCGCCGCGTTCCCGGGAGTAAACGTGTCGCGGCAGTGGTGATAGTGGTGGTAGTAGTGGTGTACGGTCGCGCGTGGTATGAAAAAATGATGTGATCGACGGTCATCATGGCGGCACCCATGCTAAAGTGGAAGCGGATCACAAATCCGACGGGGCCCCAGCCGAGACCCAGGCATGGCCACCGGGCGGTCGCAATTAAGGATCTCATGGTGGTTTTCGGCGGCGGTAACGAGGGTATCGTCGACGAGCTTCATGTTTACAATACGGGTAAGTCGCGCGCCGCCTTTCGCCTCCAGCGCCTGTCTCTCGCGCCTGTCCGCCGCCGCCGCCGCCGTGCGATGCGTCTCTTTCGTTGCGCGCCGTTCCTGGCGATTCCCGCGATCCAACATGGCGGCATACGTTGACAAGACGGTGACCGGCCGGACAGGCGGTGGAACGGCGCGATTCCGCGTTCCGGATGGAACGCGCGGCGGTTGGGCCGCGCGCTCACGACGACGCGCGATCGCGCGAGCTCGACTGCGTCCGCACGGCGGTCGTGCGGCCACGGCGGACCCAGGAAATCGTCGCGGTCTGTCATTCTACATGTTTATACGCGCGGGAGCGGCCATTGCTGTCTCCAACGCGCCCCCACTACCGCCGGCGTTGCAACGCGCCGCGCCACCGTTTCCCGTCATTCCACGTTCGCGCTTCTCTCTTTCCTTCTCTTTTTTCCTTTCGTGCCTATTCCCTCTCTCCTCTTCTCTCCTCCTTGCGCCTAACGTTTTCGGGCAAGCCGCCGCCGTCATCGTCGTGGCGCAGTCGATGCACACACGCTCTCGCGCTACGTCGCCTGACGCAGTGCGCCTGCGCGCGGCTTGCGCGCATTTCGGCCACGATTTCGAAATGCTCGTCGTGTGTCTGACGCGCGCGAATTCGCCATGGTAACAAACGGACGCATATGGATCTCCGTACACTTTTGTGCTTCCTTCCGATCTTCCTTGTTTCTTCTTTCTTTGTTTCCCCGCTACACTCTACCGTGTAATTTCGTTCGTTTCGAGCTGGAACAATAACTGTATTCAGTAAAGAAAGCTACTTTGCAACTGTTGTAAAATTCGTGAATCTGATTGGTACATGCTCTTGGATTCAACCAAAATTAAGGACATACTCCAATCAGATTCACGAATTTTACAAGAGTTGCAAAGCAACTTTCTCTGCTGAACGCACCCAATGCTACACGCTGGGGCGACTTGAAAAGACGCACGCATCACTGAAATCTATCGAAACTACGCGGAATGTTACGTAAAGTCTATTGTAAAGTCATCTGAAGTTATGATAATGATCATGCAAAGTAGCGACGAGTATCATATTTAATGCATACACATCGTGATACGAATATTATTGATATTGGAATGAGTATCGTCGTTCAAAGAGACCTTCTAAGTCACAAAATTCCAGTTTTATAGGAGAGTTAATAAACCGATAAAACTACGTAAAACTATGAATTTTACTATAATTTTCTTGTACTTGGTCCTACTTAATAATAAGCCATATCACCAAAAAATTATTATAAAATTCATAGCTTAAAGGAAGTTATTAGTTTCTTCTACTCTCTTGTAAAATAGGAACTTTATGAATTTTTCTAATTTCTAATTGTTTGTTGCATACAATTCTATACAATTCTAAACTATAGAATTCCGCCGGTCATAATTGCATTGCTGCTACGGGCTGTATTGTTGCAGCCACGAATCAATGGTTCGTCCCGTCTACGAGAGGAGACATCCCGCCAGGATGCGCGGCGTACGGTTTCGTCGTCGACGGCACGCGCATCCTGGTGTTCGGCGGCATGGTCGAATACGGCAAGTACTCCAACGAGCTGTACGAGCTTCAGGCGAGTAAGTGGGAATGGAAGCGCCTGAAGCCAAAGCCGCCCAAGGACAATATTCCGCCATGCCCGCGTCTAGGGCACAGTTTCACCCTCATTGGTAACAGGGTCTTCCTATTCGGAGGTCTGGCAAACGACAGCGACGATCCGAAGAACAATATACCGAGATATTTGAATGATCTGTACACATTGGAGTTGCTTCCTAACGGCGTGACTGCCTGGGACGTACCTACGACTCAGGGCTCCTCGCCGCCTCCTAGGGAGTCGCACACTGGTGTGGCGTACACAGACCGCGCCACCGGCAAATCTTGCCTGGTGATCTACGGCGGCATGAGCGGTTGCCGTCTCGGCGATCTGTGGTTCTTAGACGTTGACTCAATGACTTGGAATAGACCGGTTGTTCACGGACCTACCCCTTTACCTCGATCGCTCCACACTGCCACTTTAATCGGCCACCGTATGTATGTCTTCGGTGGATGGGTGCCACTGGTTGTCGACGATGTTAAAGTCGCGACGCACGAGAAAGAATGGAAGTGCACGAGCACCTTGGCATGCTTGAATTTAGGTGAGTTTCAATCCGATAGTCTGCCACTTTCCGATGTATTTGCATTATGCATTTCCCTGGGCCTTTAATAAAACCTTTGATGTTATTTACAGTTATTTGATTTGAAACTCGTCTCGAGGAAGATACTCAGATTCGAATCAGGCGAGAGTTTTTCTGTTAAAGTCGCGACTACAGATGTAATGTCATGTATAAGTCAACTGAAAAATTTGGATCTCTGATTAAGAATTTAAATATCTCATTTAGGCGACTCAACTGAAAAACTCAGATCTGTGTCTTTTGAGAAGAGTTTCAAGTAATAACTATTAATACGGGTCTAAGTGGTTTGCTTGGAAATCGTAAGACATTGTTTGCATTATTGATATACATAAATCGTGCATCATTGTTTCAGAAACTCTTACTTGGGAACAACTGACCGTGGATTCCTTAGAAGAGAACACTCCTCGGGCTCGTGCCGGTCACTGCGCAGTCGGTGTTCACAGCAGACTGTATGTGTGGTCTGGTAGAGATGGTTATCGTAAAGCTTGGAATAATCAGGTTAGAGTCAATTGAATTATGTAATTTTTGGACTGTGTACGGCCGCCGCAGAGATACAAATGTCCCTTTGATACTTATCTAGGTATGCTGTAAAGATCTGTGGTATCTCGAAGTCAGCAAACCACCGGCGCCTTCCAGAGTTCAGCTGGTCAGAGCTTCCACGCAAACGCTGGAAGTCAGTTGGACAGCGACCCCGTCCGCGCAATACTACATTCTTCAGATACAAAAGTATGATATGCCACCGGCAGCGACCGCGGGCGCTTTTCCGCCAGTGAGCGCATCCACGCCAAACATCACTCCTGTCACCGCTGCCCCGGCTGTAGCTACACCGGCAACCGTGCCCGTCACGTCGCCTCCTGTGACCACTGTCGCTTCTATTCCGACTAATCCGACTTCTGTCAGGTCGACCGTGACACCGGTGACACCGTTGCGAGTACAGTCAACGGTGCAGAGCCCTGTACAGAAGACGGTGCCGCCGCAACAAGTCATACAGAAAACGACAAGTCCCATGACCCCAAGGGTCGCTGCCGGCAACGTCATACGAATCCGTTCACCGCTTGTCACCACCGCGACTGCGGCAACGGCGGCAGCTGCGACGGCGGTGGTGGTCACCACTGAGCAGCAGCAACAATCGCAACAGCCACAAACCTCTCCCACTGTGACTACAGCTGTAGCGACGGCTCAAACACCCGCCGCCATGTCCGGTATCGCTGCATTGGCCGCTGCAGCAGCTGCAACTCCAAAAATTACTATGAATAATGTTCCCATTTTGCCCCAAGCCGCGACCAATACTATCAGAATGAAGAATGTTCAACCGGGTCAACAAATACGCTTCGCGGCGCCCGGTGCGACAGTACTACGCACAGCATCGCCGCCGCAGAACAAGCAGATCATCTTGCAGAAATCCGGTCAGAACATATCCGGTCAAACTGGTATCGTGCATCTGCTGAAAACTGGTCAAGTGGCTTGCGGTATGGTGGCCGCCACGGGACCCAAGGTGAGTCTCATTCCAAGCAAGGCGGTCCAGGGCACAGGGGTGAAACTTTTGAATCATGGGCCAGCGATACTTCGATTGGTGAATCCTAATACGGTAGCGGGATCGAAGCTGCTTACGACCATGAAGACCTCCGGCTTAGTGACGATGAGCAAGGGACAGAATATTACTGGCAAGCAGACCATAATGATTACGAAACCAGGCGGCAATGGCGGATTGGTCGGCAGAACCAATCAGATCATTGTTGTCACTACGGGCGCCGGTCTGAGAGCCGTGCAGACAGTTACTACTTCGCAAGCTGGTGCAGGTCAAGGAGCAAATCTCACTACTCCGGTGAACGTTTTGCCGTTATCGGCTGCTAATCACGTAACGAATCAGCAAGGTGTCAAGATGATCGTGGTTTCCTCGGGGGCGATGGGAGGCGGAACTGCAGGCAAGCCTATAACCATCACGGTACCGGGACAAGGTGGTGTACCAAAGACAGTTACTATTGCTACCAAGGGCAGTCCGCAAGCCATCTTCAATCCTGGCAAGAGTCAAATCGTTATGCCGCAAATACAGAAAAATCCTGTAAGTATAAGAGTACATCCATTAATTAAAAATACATGCAAATATGATATAAAATCCTTTTTCCGTTTTTTCATTACACAAAAATGATTAGTCGACAAATTAAAACTGGTGATTGCTATAAAATCGATTACAATAATCGCTACAAGAGTTTCTTTCTTAAATAACCCGCATATTCTTTCTTTTCTTAAATAACGTATAAATATCTTTTCTTAAATAACGTATTGTCGCTGTACAATTGTAGGAAGCGGTAACAGTGTCTGGAAAACCGGTAACTTTGCAAATGTCCGGAAGTATAGGTGCAAAAACGGTAACGCTTATGCCGACAAGTAGTTCTATAGTGACTACTTCAAGTGCATCGGATTCAATAGACACTAGTAAGATGCTCTTTGTTCCATCGCAGAAGCAGCCGTCGGCTTCCTTAGGTGAGTACAATTGTCTCTTAATACACAGCCTGAATGGACACAAAGTCAACGAGACGTTGAATATTATGTAATAAAACAACGTTTCAGCCTCCACATCCGATGGTCCCGCTACTACTGACGCAGCGTTAGCCGCTCTAGCAGCAGAAGCGGGTCTGATTGATCCGGTTCAAGAGCCGTCCGGTGGTCTCTCGTTTATGGTGGCTACGGACGACGGTGCTGGCGGTGACGGCAAAGTGGAGGACAGTTGTAACGGCAATGAGGCGACCGCCGCAGCTACCTTGGTTTCCCAGATGGGCGCCAGTGAGCCGATGCAAGTTGATGGTGACGGGAACTTCGTACTTCCGCAGGTGGACGGTCCGACCGACATTCTCTTGTCTGAAGACGAAGGAAACGACAAAATTGACGAGGACCCCGCTACAGAGAATGCCACGGACGCGGCCGTCGATGAGCCGACACCCATGGAGCAAGATGAAGTTAGCGCGGCCGAAAGTATCCATGTGGAGGAACCCGCTGTGAGGGAGGAAGCCGCTCCCGAAGCGGCAGCCGATCCTCCCGAAACCGCCCCCGCTGCCGACAAAGTGCCCGAGGAAGAAGCAGAAACTGCTGCTGAAAATCCTCCGGTTGACGAAGAGGTACCTATGGATACCAGTACTGACAATGTGGAACTGCCGGATGAAAAGGAGATGGATATCGGTAGTCCGTTGACTGACGAAGTGAAAGCAACTGAACCTGAATTGCCTTTCGTACAATCACCAGCAGCGCAGCCTCCTCCCGAGGAAACAACACCTGTGACGGATGTTGCCGATTTGCCAGAGCAGCCCGACACAACCGAAAACCAAAACGAGGGCCAGGAGGAAAATCAAGATGAAAACGGACAAACGAAAAGTATGAAAGTCGAATCGTGTCTTTCCGATAACGAAAAATCGCCAGCGCCTGAGAGTCTACCTGCTGAAGACAGCGCGGCGTCGCAACTCACTCAAGATGAAGCTCAAGAAACTGAGAAGATTAAGGACAAGACTGCGGAACCGGAAGCTGATCTTCCAGTCGAGGATTCTCCTCTCGTGAAGCAGGAAGACGTCGATGAACCAATGGTTGCGGATAGCGCGTTGCCCGCAATAGACGTGGCGGATCAAGTGCCAGTAACAACGCCTGTTATCGCACCGAACGTGCCAACGAAATTAGAACCTGCGAGCGAACCTATAGAACCGATGGAACAGAATGACAAAATTCCCAGTGTACCAATCTCGTCGATAAACGGTGTTGCTGCCCCTCTTGACAAGGAGACCGAAAGTCCGCAAAAGGTTCACACTCCTATAAAAATCGATATCAAAGAGGATCTGGCAATCTCAAAGAGGGAAAATAATGTGAAGCAAGAGAAGATAAACGACACCAGATCAGACGATGACTCGACCGCTTTATCTACGTTGGCAAGCGCCGCTTTAGGCTCAACGGAATCAGTGAAAGCTAAAAACGAACAGGTATGTTTTGTCGATTATTTGCAACAGTTTATCATTGTTTTGAACGCAAATGTTAAATATTGGCTTAATATCTTTCGCAGAACGAAGACGAGAAGAAGGATCCGGAGTGGTACGACGTGGGAATCATAAAAGGAACCACTTTTACAGTTCAGCATTACTATCTTCCTGGCGACGATCCGTTAGACATAACGCAACCTTTGACTATGGACGTTTTTAAAGAAAGAACTAAAATATCATTAGAGCCGGGAACTGCCTATAAATTCAGGATTGCTGCCGTGAATAGCTGTGGACGAAGTGCCTGGAGTGAGGTGACGTATCCGATTCTCCGTATATTGCCTAAAATTGTTTGTAGTGTAAGAACATTTGTACGTTAGATGAAATTTGAAATTTTTAATACTTATGGAAAATATATCGATTGTGTGTTGTTGCAGGTATCGGCGTTTAAAACGTGTCTTCCAGGATTTCCAGGTGCGCCAAGTGCTATAAAAATATCGAAATCCGCAGATGGCGCACAAATCTCTTGGGAGCCACCGCCTAGCAATGTCGGTCCCATTCTTGAGTATTCTGTCTATCTGGCGGTGAGAAGCACGGCGTTGAACAATGATGGCGAAGCGAAAACAGTCGTGTCTACACCAAATCAATTAGCCTTTATTAGAGTTTATTGCGGCTCGAGTAATTCCTGTTCGGTGAACAATAGTGCCCTTAATGCCGCTCATGTGGACACCACTACGAAACCGGCCATAATCTTTAGAATAGCAGCGCGAAACGACAAGGGTTACGGACCAGCCACGCAAGTCAGGTGGTTGCAAGGTGAGTCATGAGATTTTCTCACGTCTCTTCCTCTCTGTCTCTAGCGAATGTGTTTTAACAAACATTGCAATTAACAGATCCCACCACTGGTGTGAAGAGTAATCCGCAATCTGTGAAGAGAGCCGGCACAGACCTACGCACGCAAGTGAATTCCCCCCAAAAGAAGTCAAAACAGGAGATAACTAGTGATAATTTCTCGTGAGCCTGTTCTCTCCCTGGCCTCGTACAGCCGAAACTCCCACAAGCGAAGCTGCTATTACATTATTTAATTTCCGCTGGTCCACATGCCTAACGATAAACAAAACAATGTACTATCGAGTAAACGACGTGATATTCAAGTAAACGAAAAAAAAAAAAAGAAATGAATACGCGATAAAGAATGTGTAAAAGGGAGAAAGTGAGAAGAGAAGAAAGAGAGGAAGGAAAATAATTAGAAAGGGATGATCATAGTTATACCGAGATATAACGTATAATTTGAAAATATTTGAGAAAAAAAGTATTTTTAGTGTTCTCTCTGTACGAATACAACGTCCTTCTGTACCGCCACGTTTCTTACTCACCGTCATCCTATTTCTTTCCTCGCGAGTGCGCGAGAATCTTCTGTAAAGACAACATGAGTACCGTTAATAAATGGCGAAGTGATTATTTTTTTGGAGTTAAGTAAGTTTTTCCATGTTTATAGCGTTTTCTACGGACGGTACGACATATCGCTCTAATGCTCATACACTTGCATCATGGAAAAAAAAATCACATGTTCGCCAATTTTTTAAACGTTACCGGGAATGAGTAACCGAACAGGACTCGTGTTCTATCTATTTCGCATATCTTTTCGAGTTATTGTATACAGTGTCCCGTATTTGTTAGGACAACTGGGAAGATAATACTACATGAAAAAGCGCGTACGACAGTACCCCTTCTTACGAGGTTTTCGAAAGATTCAATATCTAAAATTGGAGAATTAACGTTACTTTTCTAATTTGTGACGCTTCACACAATAAATCACTTGAATGATTTTTAATTATTTTAGTTCAATTTTGTGTGGAGAAATGTTTTATCCTCTTTTAATCGTACTTTGATAATACTGCTGAGATACCTAGAGTGTAATATAGCATATAAAAATACGAGACATCGTAAAGAATAGATAAAACAATCATTGAAAGCAATCGTTCAAAAAATGAAATCTTGATTGTTGTCATGTTCTACATTTCCAATCAACATTTTCATGTGGAATTATTGATCTCCCGATTGTATCCCGCCAGTGTTACGGAACACTATATATTCGACACAAAGAGAAAGAGAGAGAAGGATGTTTTAATGAGGAAAAAAATTCACAAATTTCTTACAATATATATTTATCATTGATAGAGAGCGTCTGCAGTTCTTTTGACATTCACCACTAAGCAGAAAAAGCTCGCTTTTGAAATGTAGGTATTTAGTGTACATAAAACTCTTGCACTGACAAATATGTTTATCATATTATGAGGCAGAGGCATGAAATAAAATACTTTTTGATAAGGTAGAATAATTGGGAGATACACAATATATTGTGAAAAACCTTGATAGTCTCCTATTTCTATCTGCTCGTTCACGTTTTAATTTCACGCTGAAAAAGAAAAAAAAATAAGATTTTTTCTTATCGTTTCATCGATTTGATTTTACACACGACAATCGGTGCTAACACATTATTTCGGACACTTTTGTTACTGCCAGGTGCGACATAATTACGTTATCGTTTATGTTATCAAAAAAAGCAGCGCGCGTTAAAATGCAAAATTGTCTCTGCTGAATCGCATAATAATAATGACGAGTTACTTATTTGCTTTCGGTCGAACAGTTGCAACGATGCAGATATATTTTGTATAAAATATAGATTTAAATGAGAATTATATACATGTATAATTAATGAATGTGTCCCTAAGGACGGGCTTTAGGACGATTATTGATATTTTAGTGAATAAAGAAAGCTCTCGGATGAAAATTAAGGATATTTTTAGACGGCAACGAAACAATTCTTTGAATACTAATATTTCCGGATAACGATAGACTGTACGTCTTAACGTAAATTCTAATCTTTTATAGTGCTAAGACAGACAATTATAGAGCGAGTAACAGGAAGATTAGATTCGCGAAAGAAAGGTAAGACGAAGCACACGTGCCGTCGCGTTAGAGGGAGGGGACACGTAATATCCGTAACTTCTTTCTTTTCAGCATAATATTATATTTTAATCAAAAATACTGGGTAAGCTTTTTTTAAATGCCGAGATTGTGTGGAGAAGAGCTTGATTACGCGCTAGTGTTGCTGGCAGTCTTGTTCCTCTCGGTCGATTTTCTGGGGCTATGTTAAAGCTGCAATAATTTAAGCGTACATTTTATTTTAGATTATTCATATATATATGTATATGTATATATTTATGTGTACATATACATATATATGTGAATATATATAAATATATAAAAGTATAAACATTTATATATTTATATATATATATATATATTTACTTTCCGTTATCCATTTATAGCTTAAGCAAAGTAGAGAACCACCTACTAACGTAGCGTTCCATACGCTTAATTTGTTATATTGAAGTTTTGCGTTAACAAAGTTTACTTCATTTTAGGAGAAACTTACGTGTTAGGAAGACCATCGCCGACGCGTACTATCAAATCAATCAATAACTTTGCATTAATTACATGTACAATTGCAATTGTTTACTCTTTCAATGAGTACATCCCCCGCCCGAGATCTTAGGAGCATTTCCTGAAAAAGAAAAAATTACGAATGAATATATATATAAATATATATATACGATGTATAATGTAAATGGGATAACTAAAAAAAAAATGGTATATACTTTCAAGTGTATTGTTTTAATCTTGTTTTCTTTTTCTGGCTGACCCTCTGCGAACACGAGAGTATCTCTGTATCGACTAATTGACATAAGTCGTTCTTAGTCGCTTAATTTCCTCTGTATATTTCGTTGACAGGAGATGACACTGATATTTGTATCCTTGTACACAAGTCCTGTGCATAAAAGAAATGTAGAATTGCGCCGTGATGCGCGTCACGCGGCATCGTATCCGTTTGTAAATCGCCTCCTATTTACTACCGCATTTATACTCTTCGTGCAACCACACATCGTATACCACCTACACACTCAAATATGTCGTGCAAATAAATATAGATGAATTTCTTACGTGTAACGGAATCTCTATCAATCTACCAGATGTAGCAGTCGCAGTAGCTCACGCTAGATCACATCTTAGAAAGACTCACTACGATTTTCTGTTTTTCCTTCGCGAGTGTCATAATCTGTCAGTCATACGTTTGGAAATCACGCGCGAACACGACAATTATTCGATTTCTTATTCATTGCGCTTATTATTTTTCCCGATTAGCTTCGTACCTTACTTGAGTTGAGAGCACCTTGAACGTTGCGAATCTTCCTTATTTCTTTGCTTCCTTTTCCTTGTATTCTAAATTTATAACAGCGATTTGCAAAAGTGCCGTGACAGCGATTCCGCCGCCACAGAGAATATCGTGAAAGAAAGAGAAATAGAATATACCAAACTCGCAGCAAAAATCCACCGAATTTATCGTTCGTTTCTCGTGTTGCCTCTTCGAAATCTACAGTGCTTGCTTGGCAGTAACAAAAGGACATTAAATATTCATTTAATATCCTCTCGTTTTTTCTCGATCTAGTGGACAAAATAGAATAGAGCGTTTATACGATGATCCGAAAGAAAACGTTGAATAATTTGTCACCTCGCACATGATTGATCGACCGTGACACGCCACTTCCAAGTAATTCCATGCAATTTATGTACACACGTAATTCAACGATCGTAGGATGATTAACGATGCGATGGGCGCGATGCGCTTTACTGAAAGAAAAGTCGAATGAAATTAACGAGCCATGTTTACGGAAATCAGAAGCTGTTCTCCGAGATAAGATACTGTTTGCTGTTCCTTTGAAATTATAACAATTTGCAACGCGATTATGAGTAGCGTTTACCGGTATTCCCCCGCGAAACAATCAACTCTCGATCCATTCGACGCTAATCCACTGTACGAGCGGCCACAAAAAAAGAGAGAAAGATAATGTCACTTTCGGACCATGTCGTTTTACTACGAGCTACTTTTTCTATGCTAGATCTTAATCGTATGCTAATTAAAAGACGCGCAGAACCGCGGCACGAGAAATGTGAGAGGATTATAATGGCGAGATTAGCTGCGCCAGGTGAAAGTGATTTACGCGCTATGTAATAACGGCAAATCGATAGGCCGCGCGTTTTAACGACGGCAGATGTAACTTGCCAATGATATCGCACTTGTACATGACCAATACATACCGATAGAACGCGACACTTGAGCGGATCTGTATTTTTTTCCCGTAAGAAACACACCGATCCCGACGTGGATCCCGCCGGACAAAATTAGAATTACACCCTGTAGATTGGAAAATTGAAGCCCTTGGTTCTCCGCCACGGAACTCTCGATTGATGATGTCAGATTGCAGATATGTGATAAGAATTCTTGCAAAATACGTTGAAATAGATAGACATACACGGAGAAAAATAATTTTGCTCTTTTAGCAAAATCGTCGTTGCTACTGCATATTTGTAGTGACATCAACAAAATTTAGTTGACTAATTTTACAGATTATTCGTTATCAGAGCAGAAGTAGTTTCGTTGCCAGGATAGAAAAAATCTGTTGAGTGTATTTGTCCTGAGAATCACGTTAATTTGCTATTGATGCAAAATAATGTATCCTTAGCAAATTTATTTGCTATTGGAGCAAAACTGCAACTGCTTATATAAATCCATCATGGTTCTTGTAGCAAAATAATTTGTATACTGAGAAAAAAATTTACTAAATTTCAAAAAACGTTTGTTTGGATAGTACTGTGAAAATATTTGTTTAAATTAAGCAATTATTTTCTAAAATTAAATAAAATTATATTAATAAGTAATTATTTTCTAAAATTAAATTAAGTAATTATTTTCTAAAATTAAATTAAGTAATTATTTTCTAAAATTAAATAAAGAACTTTTAAATGTAAATTTGTTTCTTTAATTTTAGAAAATAATTACTTAATTCAAACAAATATCTTCACAGTACTATCCAAACGTTTTTTGAAATTGAGTAAATTTTTTTCTCAGTGTAGATTCAACAAATTACACCCAGCAAATAGTGATTAGTACTCTTAGCAAATATTTTCCATATAATAACGAAAAGATTTTGCTAGACCAACAGAAAATTTGCTGGGCCAGCAAATTATTTTTCTCCGTCTACCTATAAAATGACACTTGCAACCAATCGGGCGCATCTGCAAAATGGATCGAACCTTTTTTCCTCTGCTCTAACAGTCAATAACGTTATTCAGGTAAAAATATCGACGACACATCTGAGAAAGGACATCCGACAAAGGAAATATAAATTTTTTTTTTTCATTTTTTACACACACACATCATGTGTATCTCTTCGTTTCCTTCGCGAGAGGACGTAAACACAAAAGGTAAAACGGACAATTATCTGTGCTTTCTGCGAGAATACATTGCTTTCCCGTGATGTATGTGTGTATATGTGTGTTCATTTAATGTGTGACGCGCAACCTATTTTTTCAATTTATATTTCTTCACGGTTTTGTCATATTACTTTTACAATTATTTATTGACTGATTTATCGGCAAAAGGAAAGGACTATTCTTCTACACATCTGCTCGATCGATCGCAAGTGTCATTTTATGGATGCATCTTTTTATTTCCACGTATTTCTTAACAATTTTTAGAGTATTTTCTCGCTTCGGACGTCATAAATTAAGATGGCCGCGGCGAAGGGTCTTAATGATAACGTATCACATGATAAGAACATCTGCCACCGGTAGCTATGTCGTGATAACGTCTCAGACAGCAAAAACTACCAAAAGATGTCTTAAGTCCGTATTAATAGTTATTAGTTGAAACTTATCCCACGTGAGATACTCAGATGAATTTAGAGTTACACTTGAGTTTTTTTTCCTTGAATCACACAATACATGCAACATTACATTTCCAATTGCGATTCAGCCGAAATATTCACATCTAATTCTAAATACAAATCTGAATATTTCATCTAAGGCAAGTTTCAAGCAACAAATTATTAATGTGAACCTTAGAGAGGTCCAAAAGACGTCTTGTTTTTTTTAAGCGTCACTTGATCACCTTTAAGACATCTTTTAGTAATCTCTGTTGTCTGGAACGTTGTAACTTTTCGCAAGATTTTCTAATAAGCCACGGAGAAAATTAACAGAATCAACTGTGTGTAAATCGGAATTGCGAGGCGTGTCAGAATCCGAAATGAATTGATTAATTAAGTTGCAAGCTTCGCAGAGAGATGTATATCGCGCATAGATAAGGAGAATAAGAGGAGGGAAAGAGGATTACAAGAATTATTGCGTCGTCCTCCGGCAGATTTACGGAATTACCTGTAAATAAATCTTTCGAATATTCTTGCGTTGGTATAAACAAATGTCACTGCATTCACCAGGAATCAACGTGTCTGACTCCAGCAGGTCGGACAAGCGCATATAAACACGCACGCACGCGCGCGAAGGAGAATATCCTTCGATTGAATCCGCGATAATTTACACACGTGATAATTTAACGTTTGTGCAAAAAGGACCACGCTTCTCCATGCTTATCTCTCGCGTTGTTTTTCTTGCGTAACGCGCAAAACGCGTTATTTAGATGAATATCGACGTCGCATCCGAGAAAGGACATCGGACATATATGTATGTATATATATACATTTTTTTTATGTAATTTTCTACACACACACACACATACACACACACATATCGTGTGTGTCTCTTCGTTTCCCTCGCGAAAGGACGTAAACACAAAAGGTAAAACGGACAATTATCCGTGCTTTCTGCGAGAATACATTGCTTTCCCGCGATATATGTGTGTATATGTGTATTTACATGTGTTTCACTCGATGTAATGTTAGTATTATTACGTAGGGTTTGCGACTGACGTCAGCAGAATAATCAAGGTGCGCGAGATTAGAGCCTAAGAGCGAATTATATTTGTTCTTTCTTTGATTTTTCAATTGTATTTGCGCGCACCGATTTGCGAGAACACGCGCCGATGATATTTTTTCAGTCATCCCGTTCGTTCGTTCGTTCAATGACGATGAACCTCGTGTAACCGCAAATTACTCTTTTAATTAAGGACCGATCACTGCAATATTTTCTGACTGCAGTCGGCTCTCCGTTGCGGGCAGATGATCACACACGTATCGACTTTGTATCGCAGGATGACGCAGACAAAAGAAACTCCCAAGAGACGTCTCTGAAAGACGCCTAGATAATGTTTAAAAGACGTCTGAAATAGTCAGAACATCTTTTGGGTTCGTATTAACGTTTATTATTTGAAACTCCTCTCAAATGAGGTGCTCAGATTTAAATTTAATGTCGGACAAGAGTTTGTCAGTTGGATCGCGATTGTAGATGCAAATGTTACATATATTATATAATCCAACTGCAAAACTCTGATCTGGCACTGAATAAAAGTTTAAGAATTGAGACATGATTCAGATTTGAGATTCAGAAATAGATGAGAGTTTGTCAGTTGGATCGCGATTGTAGATGCAAATGTTACATATATTATGTAATACAACTGCAAAACTTTGATCTGGTACTGAATAAAAGTTTAGGCATCGAGACACTATTCAGATTTGAGATTCAGAAATAGATGAGAGTTTGTCAGTTGGATCGCGATTGTAGATGCAAATGTTACATATATTATGTAACATTTATAATTATAATATTATAATTCAACTGCAAAACTTTGATCTGGCACTGAATAAAAGTTTAGGCATTGAGACATGATTCAGATTTGAGATTCAGAAATAGATGAGAGTTTGTCAGTTGGATCGCGATTGTAGATGCAAATGTTACATATATTATGTAATTCAACTGCAAAACTTTGATCTGGCACTGAATAAAAGTTTAGGCATTGAGACATGATTCAGATTTGAGATTCAGAAATAGATGAGAGTTTGTTAGTTGGATCGCGATTGTAGATGCAAATGTTACATATATTATGTAATTCAACTGCAAAACTTTGATCTTGCACTGAATAAAAGTTTAGGCATCGAGACATGATTCAGATTTGAGATTCAGAAATAGATGAGAGTTTGTTAGTTGGATCGCGATTGTAGATGCAAATGTTACATATATTATGTAATTCAACTGCAAAACTTTGATTTGCACTGAATAAAAGTTTAGGCATCGAGACATGATTCAGATTTGAGATTCAGAAATAGATGAGAGTTTGTTAGTTGGATCGCGATTGTAGATGCAAATGTTACATATATTATATAATTCAACTGCAAAACTTTGATCAGGCATTGAATAAAAGTTAGGCATCGAGACATGATTCAGATTTGAGATTCAGAAATAGATGAGAGTTTGTTAGTTGGATCGCGATTGTAGATGCAAATGTTACATATATTATATAATTCAACTGCAAAACTTTGATCAGGCATTGAATAAAAGTTAGGCATCGAGACATGATTCAGATTTGAGATTCAGAAATAGATGAGAGTTTGTTAGTTGGATCGCGATTGTAGATGCAAATGTTACATATATTATATAATTCAACTGCAAAACTTTGATCAGGCATTGAATAAAAGTTAGGCATCGAGACATGATTCAGATTTGAGATTCAGAAATAGATGAGAGTTTGTTAGTTGGATCGCGATTGTAGATGCAAATGTTACATATATTATGTAATTCAACTGCAAAACTTTGGTCTGGCACTGAATAAAAGTTTAGGCATCTCACACGAGACATGATTCAGATTTGAATTGAGAAATAAGTCAGAGTTTTTGACAGTTGCACACGTCGTGTACGTTATAGAATTCAAAACTTGAATCTGACTCTGAATAAAAATCCGTGTATCTCACGCGAAACGAGCTTCAGGTGACGAACTATCAATCAACGGACCTCGGACGTCTCTTGGAAGTTTTCACTACCTGGCAAGTTGAATTCTGCGAACACGTGTATGTATTAGAAAGAAAAATCTTCGTTGCGCGTTGAATACGCCACAATTGTTCCACGATCGCGCGTGCAGCACGATTGCTGCATCGATCACTGACAATAAATCGTTGAAGAGAGAACGTTGGTCCCTTCTTTCGATGACGAAGGAGCGCATCCGCATATCACGCGCAGATTCGCGAACGCCGGCCGTGCAGAATCATCGAGATCGAGAGATTCGCCCGGAGGATCTGACGTGGGAGAAGAATCTGCATGCTTCTACGAAGGCGATTTCATCGGGAATTTATTTCAGACGCACAGCGCCTTGGACTCCCGGCGTTTCGATGGTCGATCGATCCGTCTCGATCGCGGGGTGGGACTCGATTGACTACGATACGATTGGACACAGATTGTAATGATTGGTTCGACCTAGTAATTCATTAGATAATTCTTTTCATCGGTTGGTTGTGTCCAATCGTACCGTGGTCAATCGGGACGCTTCCTCGATCGCGTCACCGGACACCTCGCTGTCGAGCGGATTGTTTCGCTATCCGGGGGAACGCGATCTATCCCTCGCGTGTACGCATCGCGGGTGCAGTCTGACGACCGGTTCACGTTTCCCAGAAGCATCGGTGTGTCAACGAGCCTCTCGAGAGGAATATATAGGTCGCGAAGTGACGACCCCTCGCACGATTTCAGCGTCCGACACGCCGCACAGTGAGGACAAATAAAAATTTACTGCTCCAAAATCGCTAGAGACCACAATTTTATAGCAATCAGGACGATTTTTTTTTTAATTAAACGTTAATCAATGTAGAAAAAAACTGTCGAGCCTGATTTTTTTTTTTAATTCTTCTAAACGTTGCAATATTAATAAGAATTAAGTTCGTATTCAGCAACCTAAACCTAATATATACCTTACAGTGACACATTTCGTGCTACAGAAACATTTTTTTCATATCGGTTATGGGATTGACAGCTGTTAAATACCAGATCTTAATACTGACTTTACATTTATGTTGAACGACTTTATATATCCTATTGCAACATATATACTGTGTTAAAACATAATGATTTTGTTTATGTTGACAAGAGATTAATAGTTATCAACTGCCAGATTCTGATTTTTATATCAGATTCGTAATCAGCGATGCCGAAAACCTTAGTACACTGTACTGTACAGCGAAAAGATGGAAAGTTTTCCAATTGGAGCGACTCACAAAACTTGATAATTTTTCACAAATTCTGGTAAAGGTGTAGGAAAAGGGCGCCACCTCCGATCAGCCTGATCTTGACATATGTCATAGAGATCACCCTTCTGAGTGACTTTCTGAAGATTTTAGCCGTCGCTCATTGTTTGTTAAAAAGTTATGGACTGATTTAGGTTTAGGTTCGAATAAACATAACTAATAAACTAACCTAATCCAACCTATCCACATTAAGTATCAGTCATTTTTTATTAAAGTGTTTAACTTTTGTGTTATTGTGACGATAGGTTGGGTTAGGTTAGTTTTGAGGGGGATGCGGGGGGCGCAGCCCCCCGCTAGTTGTTCGATATTGCACTTATTCGATATTGCTCGTTAACGGTACACAGTATCGAAAAATTGTAATATATTTTTCGGACTTCTTTCATCAATAACTTTTTAACAAACAATGAGCGACGGCTAAAATCTTCAGAAGGTCACTCAGAAGGGTGACCTCTATGACATATGTCAAGATCAGGCTGATCGGAGGTGGCGTCCTTTTTCTACACTTTAACCCAAATTCTTATTAATATTGCAACATTTAGAAGAATTTTTTTTACATTGTTTAATTTAAAAAAAAATTCATCCCGGTTGCTATAAAATTGTGGTCTCTAGCCATTTTTGAACAAGTAAATTTCTATTTCTATTTCTCCCCATTTGTGCGCCGCGACGCTGGAAAACGCAACGCAAGGATATTAAATTTACGATATATTTTATTTCTGTTCGAGCGCTATGTGCGCACACATACACATAGATACCGCACACACACACACACACAGACACATGCAGCCGAGAGAAGGAATGCGGGAAAGCCAAGGAGTAAAGGATAGAAAAAAGTGCGTACGCAATCGATTTGTTCGCTTACACGGCTTTCGAAATAGCTTTCGCACGATTCTAACGCGATTCACGATAGATATTAAAAAAAAAAGGTTTAAGGCTGCTGTGTGCGTTTACTCGGTAACTGTTGACGGCGATATCGGTATTGTCAAACGTCGTTGCGCAGCTTTTATGCGTTATATTTGCGCGACGACGTGCGTTATAGTTATAAAGCAAGCGTTGAGAAATTACAGAATAACCCTGTCAGGTCTCCTCTCCCCCTCTGCGGAACTATCGATTGGTGACGTCACAAGCGAAGAAATGCATGTCCAAAATTCTTGCAAATCACGTTGAAATAAAAAAGATACATCCAAAAAATGGTATTTGCAGTGGATCGAATATATATTTGCAAAGTATTCCAAACACTTGTCTTTTGCTTTAACAATCAATAAATAACCGCAAAATTGACGCGAAAAAATGTAAGTTAAAAAAGAAAAGAACTTAGCACAGAGAACTCAAAAAGAATTCAATCGTATGTCACCAATTCTGAATTCATTGTCAGATGCAAAAAGAATTCTTTAGAGTTCAGTTCAGTGAAAAGAATTTTTTTTGCATCTAAAAATGAACTCAGAATTGGTGACATACGACTGAATTCTTTTTGAATTTTCTGTGTTATCTGAGAAGATTGCATTTCACGTTAATTTCAAAGTTATTTATTCATTGTCAAATTCAAAAATAAAGTAGAGTATTTTAGAGGTGTGCGCTTAATCGATTAAAATCGGGATGTCTTAAAGATCATCATTAAGATGTCTTTCAAACGATTTACGTATAAATGTCTTTAAGGTGTCTTAAAGATTGTCTTTAAGACGTCTTATGTCCAGATTTTAGATGTCTAGGTAGTATCTTTTGAACCCATACAGCACAAATCTTCAAAGGACATTCTAAAGACATTCTAAGGACATTCATACATCCTGAGGACGTCCCAGAACATTCTCTGAAGATTTTGTGCTATCTGGGAATGTATCTTTTCATTTCGACGTACACTGCAAGAATTTTGGACATGCACTTCTTCGCTACGACATCATCAATGGCCGCGGTCAGGAACCTTAAAAAGATTGGATCGCACACGGGCGATATTGGATCCTCTTCCGCTGATCGATCGATCGATCGAGATGAATTTTTAGGCGCGCGCGATCTGCACTTTGCCAGTCGCTTTTCGCGAGACCGGGCGACCCAGGAAGGGAGCAAATCGATAAAACCGTTTCAGCGTTGATAAGAAAGTGGCGTCGCACAAATGAACAATAAATCATCGTGGAGATAAGCGTCTCGGAGCGGCCCCGCTGCGAGCGGCGTATCGCGAGCGAAAACGCGTTTCATCGCGGACCGGTGTTATTGGTTGTTGCGATCGCGCTTAGGCGAGATAATAAGCGAGCAAACCTGCGAGCCGTGCGTCAGTTTCGTCCTGTTTACGGGCAGGATCGCGAGGACCTATGTCCGCGAGTCTACGAGCAACTTCGCGAGCTCTCGACCTCATCCGAGGGACTTTTTCGTCTACACTCGCGCGAAGGCGATATATTTTCTCGCTCTGATTGACTGTATGTGAATTTTCTTCGATAAAACACAGTGTTAAGTAAATATATATATATATATATATATATGTGTGTGTGTGTGTGTGTGTGTGTGTATGTATATATATATATATATATATATATATATATATATATATATATATATATATATATATATATATATATATAATAAAAAGAACAGAATAAATGTGACTTTTTGCACACGTGAGGTCCTTTTTTTATACGTTCACCTACGCTCTTCTGCTGAAATTCCGGTATGTCTCAGCTAAATCATTGAAATAGAAAACACTTCATTTGAATGTAAACTATTTCCAATGTTTAACCCTTTCATTTATCACGATTTTTAAATTGGCAACACCAACAAACACCTGAGCTGTCAAAATAAATCGGCGGTAATTGCAAATTTTTTTGTATTTTTAATTTATTTTATATTATAATAAATTATAAAAAACGATTAAATACTTTCTTTTGGTCACTTTGTGGACTTGTAAGGGTTAAAGCCCCTGGCTCCTCGTCGCAGCCATCTTGATTTATGACATTAAGAGAGTGAAAAGAAAATACGTGCTAGAAATGCTCGCGAAATACGTAGAAGTGAAAAGATCTATCCGTGACCCTCGTAATTGATCGTGCAGACGCGAATGTGTGAATTTTATCGCGCTCGTATTATAATCTCGTGCGATTCGAGTGCCGAAACGCGAATCGTCCCGGCCATTTAAATTGCAAATCGCGGTAGATCGATGTGAACGCGCCGTTTCATATATAAAATAGCGAGGGAGAAAGGTAGCAAGGTCGTATTCTCCCGATGCATATCCGGCGGATTTTATGCAAAGCGATGATTCAGCGATACATTGCGGGGGGATAATTAGCGTGAAGCATCCAAGGGATCGCGCATTCATCTCCGTCAAGGAGAAATCGATTGTGTCATCCGTATGGAGGTATACGTTCTCAGAAGTTGCGTTTAGAAATGTCTTACCTGCGCGGTGAATGTTGACCAATCGATCTGAGAACATCGTCGGCGCGGAAAGTTTACAGTTACGATATTCATCGCCGGTAATGAGAATTCATAATACACATAACATGAATCTTAGGCTTTCAATATTGTCAGTGAATAACGGAAGGCAGCCATAAATGAACGTCAACCTCAACTTCATCAACTTCAACTTCAATAAGTGGCTCCAGGCTTCACTGAGAATTACGCTCCAACGCCATTACACGGATTGAAGGTCAAATAGAGAACTACAGGTACTGACTAATGTCCAAAACTGGGACATAAAATGTCTTTAAGACAACTTAAACTCCTTGTCCACAACCTTGCTTTCCCATATAGCACAAATCTTCAAAGGATGTTCTAAAAACGTTTTAAGGACATTCATACATCCTAAGAACGTCCAAGAACATTCTGAACATTCTCTGAAGATTTTGTGCTATCTGGGTTAATTCTTAAGCCGTAAGAAATTGACCAACCACAGTTGATTATTTAATAATTGATTTAAAATAATCGACTGTGATTGGTCAATTTATTACGGCTTAAAAATTAAAGCAAGGTTGTGGACAAAGGAAAAGACGCTAGACGTCCAGACATCTTATCCCTTGTCCACAACCTTGCTTTAATCTTTAAGCCATAATAAATTGACCAACCACAGTGGATTATTTTAAAAATAATGAACTGTGGTTAGTCAATTTCTTACGGCTTAAGGTTGTGGTTAAAGTCGACTTAAAGACGTTTTAAAAACGTCTTATGTTCCAGTTTTGAACATATATGCTGTCTGGGTGTTCCTCAGAAATTGTTGGATTTCGTAGAAGTATCTGAAACTTTGTAGGTTGAAGGCTCCTTTAAAAACGTTCTCGCCAGAGTATCCTCTCTGATATAATTTAGTAATGAGAATGTCGGATTCCTTTTTAGTATTACGACAGTAGAGGAGAATTTGTTCAAATAAATGAACGTCGATGCGCACGCAAGAGACTTTCATAGATGGTCGACTTTGAAAATTCAAAAAGTCTCGATATCACGTCGATCACGTCGATAACGATGTATCGATACGCGCGATACCTCCTCGTCGATACTTCCGGACTCGGTCGCTCCTCGACGGAGAGACAGAGACGTCCTACTTCCGGCCGAAATCTCGGTTTAGCCGCCGACCAGATGTGTTCGAACAAGTTCGGACTTTAAGATTTTTGGAACGTGCCTTGGAATCTTCCTGGGCTTTATATCACGATATTATTCCTTCAAACAATCTAGTTGATTCTTATTAATCTTTATTCTTATATTGACTTGGAGTGATGTTGGGGAAATATGTCTTTTTGAGAATCCCTGTATACCATATACTGAGAGAGAGAGAGAGAGAGAGGTACTTCCGGCCGACGCACTGTGCACGCGGAAGGGTTAGAACGGCTTCCGTATCGCGCTGCGCGTGCCGGGCACAGCGTTGTGTCGGAAGACGCCCCCGACAGAAGCGGTGGCGCCTCTAAAAGTACTCGCGGCTGTCAAATGGTTGTCGCGCGAAAGTCTTCCGGAGCGGAGCGACGTGTCATTATCGTCATCGTCGTCGACGTGCCCGGCGGGCCCGGAGTTGTTCCTATATAAATTGTGGCTCGGTCGCGCGCGCAGAGATACTACAGAGTGGGATTACGTGTGGCTGATGTTGCAGAGGAAACGCGCGCGTGACACATAGATTGTGTTTGCATACCACCCACTCACGTATAGCACGACGAGGCCCGGTGGCCCGCTATAAACGGTAACGTGGCATATGTTCCTGCGCAAGTGACAGCGAGAGTGGACGCGACGACGAGGTAAGAGTGATGGGAATCGACGGTATGAGGGTCGGTGGTGGCAGATGCCCGCCTCTCTTAGTCGTAGCGCTGCTCCTGGTGTGTCTCATGCTCTTCTGCAACTGGTGGGCACTGTCGTCTGAGAATGTGGAGCTAGTCAGGCAAATCGACGAGCTGAACGAGCAGCTCAAGATCAGGTGAGGATTACTAACGCAGCCTGCTGTTGCTGCTGACATTTGAGTGTGTTTATTTTTGAGTGTATTTATTTGAGTGAAGGTGGCTGCATGTCAAGCACTGCATTCTGTTTACTGTCTTTTCTGTATCGGTATGTTGTGTTTGTCGTGCAATTTGCCAGAAGCAGTACATGGATTTGCTCTTTGTGAAACTTTTCACTTGTGTCGTGCTCGCAGAATGTATATCCATAATGTCAGTGTTGTCCCAGTTTACTTTTAGCTTGCTGTCTACTGTAATTTGTAAAAGTCATATCATTTAAAACAGCACGTTGTTTAGCATCTTATTGCAACTGAGAAATTGATTTGTCTTTCAGCGCTGAAGAGAGAGATCAGTGTGTAACATTACGTGGCAATCTGGAGCAGAGATACAAACACATAGAGGATGAGTTGGCCTCTGTGCACGTTCGAATGGAGCAACAGATAGATTTTAAGAAGAAAAATGATGAGCTAGAAGATTCTGTTACCGTGTGCAAAAGTGAACTAGATTCTTTGAACAAATTGGACGCCACTAAAACTGCAACACTGGAGACACTCCGACTAGAAAAGGATACAATCACCACCCAATTAGACGTGAAACGTAATGAAAACAAAAAGCTTCAAGAGGAAGTGGAAAAGGTGTGAATATTCTACTGATATGATAAAATCTATATATAGAGTGAAGATAAAGTCATTGACAAGTGTGATTTTGGTGTCCTTTATTTTTCCAGCTAAAAGGAGAGGTGGACCAACTAAAGCTCAGTTGCAATGCCCCACTTGATAAGAAAGACCTTCCAGTTCTTCATCCAAGTAAGTTGTAACAATTGCCTTCGTTGTATATCACGTGTTTAACGTGTGTTTTTGAATTTACATTAACGTTCGAGTAATCGTCCGGATTTATACGATTTTTTTAATAACTATATTCTCTCGTTACATGTAAAATATTTTGCACTGTATTTCTTCATATAATAATGTATGATGAGCCAAGACCTTTGCTAACTTAGATCGCTGATTGCACTCTGCTTCTACGGCGAGAGAACGATGCTCCCCCTCGGTTATTTTCTCTTTCTTTTTATTTTGTCGAATCTGGTTTGTTGCTCCCTCCTCTCTCATTAAGTTCTAACTCTGATCGATGCTGTTCCCACGTAAATATTAACGCAACCGCCGGTACCCCGTAAACCCCTTTGCGCATTTCTCATTGACGCGAGTTATAAGATATTGTGTCGGGATTTGCTGATCTAGCAGCGACAGTGGTCATTAACAAGTCTCAGTTACACCCGGTACCGGAGTCCGCCGTAAGAGTATCCGTGGCTGGTCAGCGAGGCTTGAAGTACCACGGGATTCCAATCCTACTGACAGACCCACCCGGTGCTGTGCGCCAAACTCCTCGTTTCTCAGTAACTATGTTGAAAGGTAGTGATACCTTTCCCCGTCCTCGCGAGGCGAGAATGCTGTCACGGACATGAAATTAAGAGTTCGCAGTAGATTTGTATATAAATCATAATTTCACACATCCACACACACACACACACACACACACACACACACACACACACACACACACACACATATGTAATTAAAGTTCTATTAAGAACAAACCTACTGTATTTGCTTCTAACTACGATGCGGTATCGCGTTCTTTGGTTTCGTTCTAACGATACACAATACTATATCGTTCATCTAATATCGACCATCGAGAAATTTTCATACGAGAAGGACCGTTTTGACCGTGGACTGTCTGTGTTCACGAAACTAAAACGTAGCGTTTTAGTAGGCAGCTTCCTTTGTGCTTTACATCACTACACGAAATCCGACAGTTTCGTGTGTAAAATTGTATCAAATGTGTAGGGAAGACTTCTGAGGATTTAATAGGTGCCATAGAAGTATTATTGACGATGCTTTCTTATGAGAATTGTGTCTTCGTTGGGCGTGCAACTTCAAGGAGAAAGATAAAAAATTGAGTCTCGTGTGATAAAAGCAGACCTTTAGGTAAACGTGGGGGATGAGGCAAGACTTTATTCTACACACTTTCCTATTTCCCAGATGCTTGGATACTTTCGTCCTAACTGTATTTGCCTAAAAACGGCGCACGAGACTGTTTACGATTTGTAATTAAGTTATAATTGGTAATTGTAAGATATATTTATTTATGTAGAGGTATTTTGTGATTTACTTATCGCCTGCTGCAATATAACACATTGTATTTATTTACAATAAAGTCTTATGCGAATGACACGAGGCGCATAATGTAAGCTACACACGGACTTTAATCTGTATTTGTAGAAATATATTGAACAATAAACAGAATGTGATCAACTGTAACTTTCGGCTCTTTCAAAACGCCGGGCATAAAAACGCGTATTTACTGTACAAATAATAAAATGTGCAATATTTTCAGCGAGATACACTCCTGCTTCTTGGATTGCTCTAAATAATGTAGTTTTAGAGATAAATAATGTAGTTTTCAGATAGTTATTATTAATGTTACTCCATCACGAAATTCTTTCCCTCTTTTGGCGCACTCTAAGGAGAACTAACATAAATCATTTTGTATTAACACGCACGAAGTACACGAGTGTTGGTGAACGTTGCACTAAATGATCATAAATTGTTCGTTACTAACGCCCTAACGACAGCTTTCGTTATTATCGCAGTATAAACATGCTGTATACGACAGATCGCAATTAAAACTTCTTCCAGAAATACACACGTGAATCTTTCACTTTAGCATAGTAATTTAGCTTACGTGCCTTTCAGTTCAAGCGGGTGCGAAACAGATCAATGACACAGCGGAGCAGGATTTGCCAGTTCCCGATGACATAGAGGATCCTGAGAACCGTGCACATGGTAATTAGAAGTTTAAACGTAGCAATATCATTATGCAGCGTGCACATATTTGTTTGAAGCGCAGTTTGACGCAGCAGCAAAAGCCATAACGTTCTCTAGGAAATAAGAGGAAAGAAAGAGACAGAAATTAGTTAAGGCAATGTACAAAACTAACTTAAAGTACATTTTTTTATATATTCTATTTTCATGTATTATTCTATCAAAAAATCATTGTAGAGAAGAATAAGTTTTAAAACACATTGTGTGCGTATGCGGAGTGTGTGTATGTGTATGTGTGAAAGAGAGAGAAAGTGGATAGTGATGCATAATTTTTTTTTTAATTTTTTTCCTCATTTGTGTAGATAACAATGCTGATGAAGTTCAAAGCACAGACGAGGCTATGCCACTTCCAGATAATTACGAGGAGGAAGCGAAAGCGCAGGATGCCACAGGGAAACCTGAGGATAAAAATACATAATACGGTGCAATATGTAATCTCTAGAGGTGAATAATGTGTGCAATTTTGCAATAACCAGCAAGCCAATTAGACTAAAGAAAGTACAATGACTATACGTACACGAGTAAAACGAAAGTCCATATGACATGTGCAAGATAGTTTATACTGCTCATTTTATTGTGTCATACTTAATTGTTTATGATAGAAATATTTTTATATACTCTATATTTCTTTAAAAAAGAAATATGCACTATTGATTGAGCTCCTTTTTATATCAATAACGTCACGAAATTACAAAGTGATGTATACATGCAGGTGCCAAATTATGTGTTTGTTATTTCTGTGTTACGCACATAATTATGGCTGTGTGTAATTTCCATATCTTGCATTTTATTATATATATATGTATAAAATAAGTGGACCGATTATACTGTGATTCTTCTATGATCTGATAAATGGATAGCAAAAAGTTTTCGCACTCACAATTCTTAAGAATGGGACCTTTGCCATGATTTAA